AAATTTTACACATAGATTGACAGCGATCTTTATTTCATAGCCATCGCTGACGCCGTTTTTTTTTTCACGACCATATTGTATTTCCCATTAATCGCATGGTGGCAATACTAATTTATATTTAAAGAGATATATCTAAATGTGTATATACTAGGTATTTTATGAGCAATCATATTTAAGCTATTATGACTCATATCATATTCTAATTACTTGAAACTTGAAACATAATATTTGCTCCTATTATATTCATGTAACTAAATTTTCTAATATTAATAACTCTCTGATAATAAAAAACAAGAGTGTGTTTTGAAAAAGTAAAGCATAATTACTGTGGACTTTATTGTGAAAAACAACCTATTTGAAACACATTGCAGTAACTACAGAATAGTTTAAGAACTTACACACATGTTTTTAGTCTATTTTCATTATATTTGAAAAATACAGTCCCCCTTCAATACATAAAACATTTATATTCAAATATACTCTAGATAGAGCTCAATTTTATATGAAGCGGGAATTTGTCACATAAACTACCGTATGATCGAGAAAAACGGCGTCAACGATGGCTATAGAAATGAAGATTAAGCTGTCATTTTATATGTAAATTTATATAGGAATGTCATTGATGGGTCATTTCAGCCAACTTAGTTTTCGATCATATCGTATTGTGTATTTTATTCTTTAATTTTAATTACTACAAATGGTCTTGATATCTTTCTTTTGAATACATATATTCTTGTTACTCTCTTTCATCTTTGTCTCTAATATACAGATGCATTGCAATTTGTTGTTAGTATATTTATGTAATCATTTCATAAATCCTAAAAATAAAAATGGTTATAACATGCTTTCCAGATATCCATATCCACAATATTCTGTGTGTCATTGATCGTCATTTCCAGCCAACTTGACGCCGTTTTTTTTTCGATCATATCGTACATTTTATGTATTTTATTCTTTAATTTTAATTACTACAAATGGTCTTGATATCTTTCTTTTGAATACATATATTCTTGTTACTCTCTTTCATCTTTGTCTCTAATATACAGATGCATTGCAATTTGTTGTTAGTATATTTATGTAATCATTTCATAAATCCCTAAAAATAAAATGGTTATAACATACTATCCAGATATCCATATCCACAATATTCTGTGTAAATATGTTCAATTTTTTAATAACCCATTCACTAAATAGAGATTGTGAGACAACATACAGATAGCTGTTTAAATAATTTTCAATCTTTGTGTATGTAATAATAGATTTCACATATTATTATATGCATTACACAATATGCATTACCTGCAATAATAAAAGATATTTTCTTTAAAGTGTATAATTCTATCTAACACACTTCTAATAAAGTATACTCTGACTCTTTGAACATTTGTTACAGCTTCTAATAATTAGGTATATCGATAACTTCCTAAGAAATTTTGTTAGCACTTTTAGTTAGTTTACCATTTTTCTCAATATATTCTGCAGAATATAATATGACTCGATACATTCACCTAGAATAAAATCAATAATATCATTTATGAATAGAAAACTACATGTATAACTTTTTCATTAATATTTGCAATTTCAGACCAGAACTTGTCTGAAGAGAACTTTCTTGGTTTGTTTAAAAATATCTTACCGTATAACATAAATTTACATCTGAATTAATCTAATCAGATCAAATTTTCTTCATAGTATAGAAAACATCGAAACTATTTGACTGGTAATCGAGCTATCAATAAGCTGACACTAAAATTTAATGAATAATTAAATGGGATAATTATTTTCATGTAAAACAAAACTTTATACTTAATAAGACCACAGGGAGTACATTATTACAACAGTGTTACTGAGATTTTTGATTTAATGTATTGCTTGGTATTTGTAGATCTGTTATTGTATTGGATTACAATTGCCTTCTTCTCCATTGATGCATCCTAATTTAAGATTACTGATTTTCTAATACATAATTAAAGTGAAATTATTTTTCCTACCATTACATAATTAATTTCTTCCTACCATTAGGTAGATACCTGAAAGGTTAATAAATTAAAAACGAATTTATTAAGACATTTAAACTGTTTACCTCATTTCTCACATATTTTTGACACCAAACATTATAAATAAATCAAAAAATATTCGTATACCAACTGAATTATATGATATTTCATTTTGAATAATAAAAGTACTTTTTTACAGGTTTATTTGGCATTGTTTGCATTGTTTTTTGTTGTTTTCTGTTTTGTTTTTGTGCGAGTTTAATAACCCACGATTAACCTTAAACATAACCTTAAACTACACACCATACTAGGGATGTACGATTCGAATCGATTATTATCAAATCGACGTGATTTTTATCAAACGATTTTTTGGTATAATCGATCTTTTTTTTTAAATCGAAGACCGATTTTATTTATACAGTTTTACAGGTTTATTTATTTGTTAGAATTTAGAATAAGAAAAAACACTTTAGTTTTGCTGGAATATTTGTTTGCAGTGCATCCCTAGTAAAGGCCATCTAGCAATGAATTGAAAATTAAGTGTAATGCTCGCTGCCGCATGCGCCGATGTTTATTTATCACTTTGATATCAGGTGTCAGATTTTTGTCGGGGCTTCCCATATTTTTATATTTTAGATAACGTAGAACATTCTTTGATTTTACCTTAATTCTTTCTTGTACTTTTGGTAAAGGTGTGGATCCGGTGGCTGACCTTGAAACGAGTTTTTGCTGCATATAGTCACAGACACTACGCATGCGCACATCTTCGATGTTGCCAAATTGCAAGTTATTTTGGAATTATTTTCAGTAGAAAACAAATATGTGCTTTTCAGTGTTTTTTTGTCAATATATACCGTATGATCGAAAAAACGGCGTCCAGTTGGCTGGGAAATGACGATTGAGGACATTTCCCATGTAAAATGACAGCGATCTTCATTTCATAGTCATCGGTGACGCTATTTTTTTTTATAGTATGCGGTATATTATTTATATTATTATTTTAATATTTCGCACAACACGTGAACGCTTATTATGTATTTTCATAGTCAATAAAATTATATAGAAATAAAACTCTAGATTCCTATCTAGATTATTATGTTACGTTTAAAAAGTGCTTTATTAAAAATTCGGGAAATTAAAAGGGATGTGTCCAAGTTTTTTCTTTTTTTTAAGCTGTAGCTCCATGTCATGTTCATAATAGGTTTTTTTTAACATTTCATCAAAACTACGGAGGCCTTAAAAGGCCTTTTAGCCTCCGTAACTAAAATTGTAGAATCAGCTTCAGCAACATTAACATCATCAGTTACCTTGTTTAATTCTGCTTATACATATATTGCATTAATTTTTCTGCTACATTAAGATTTCTCTATTCTTACACCTAATTTATGTGATTTTCTTAGCATATATGATTTATAAACCATATTTTTCCTAATGGAAGGATGGAATAGGATATGCAAAATTAAGATATTTTAACTTTTATTTTCCAGACCAAGCATAATATATAGTATTAAGATTAAGACATAACAAATATTATAAGAAAGATCTTAATATAAATCACAAACTAAGTCTTAATTTAGTCTTGAATTTCTATTATTATTATTATTCTTATAAAACTAATAAGATCAAAACTCAACCTTCACCATATTGTCAAGATTTGGCATTATAGGAAACAAGAAATTAAGTAAATTAAGAAAAGAATATCAAAGTACACGATATTAAATACTGTAATGTATTCTACGGTACAAACCATCTCCCTTCTAAAGAGAAAAAGATAAAACATAAAGCTTATTTTAGTCTTATCAATACACACTCTTCGATAAAATATATGTCTAAAATTGCTATTAATCCACTAACTTGATATTTTTAAGAAATTATGATACAAACATTAATTATAATCAAAGTATATTATATTAGTAACATTATAGGTAAAATGTTACCTCTATCTCCGATTGACGTGTATTGTTCTATAAGACTCGTCATGGTAGAACTTCAATATATCAATACATATAATCAAAACTATTGTTGCCTGTAAATAACTAGAAATTAAATAATTTGAAAAAAATAAAATAATTCTAATAAGTTTAAAACCATTAAAAAAAAATCCGTAAATGATAATTTTTAATTCTAATGTAAATATATAAGTAAATGTTATTATTATTACAATTCTATATATCATTCCTTAATTTTGGATTTCAAGATAAATCTGAAATTATAAAATTAATTAGAGAATTTGTATTATTATTGATTAACACTCAAAAGAAAATTTTCAACTGCAAATAATTCGAAAATAAAGTGCAATTTGGCAATATCGACGATGTGCGCTTGCGTAGTATCGATGATCAAATGCAGCAAATATGGGCTTCAAGGTCAGCCACCGGATCCACACCTTTACCAGTTACTATATTAATAGCAATTTGTAGGCATATATTTTATCAAAGAATGGTGATAGGATTAAAATAAGGTTTGTTTTTTATTTTACTCTGTTGTAAGCGTTTTTTATTTTACTTTTTTTTTATATATATCGATATCTACATAATATATAAAATGCTAATGTTTATCTGTGTCATCTCTACTGAAGTAACGACTTGCTCTAAAAAGTTGCTTTTTTACTAAAAGATAGCTAATTGGCTCTTCTAAAAACTATCGTCGCCGGATTTTTTGTTTTTCATTTAATTAAAAAAAATAAAAGTATTTTTTTCCTGATGTGGCGGATGCACCAGGCTTCAACTAGTTTTTTATAATGTTCATAATGTTTTAATACTACATATTATGCTTTGTGGTGTGGTAAATAAATGTTAAAGATATCTTAATACTTGCATATCTTTTCATGTGGAAGAATATGATTTATAAATCACATATAAAATGTTTTATTTCAGATATAGTAAGAAAATCGCTTAAATTAGGTTTAAGAATAGAAAAATCTCAAGGTAGCAGAAAAATGAATGCAATTAGATAATGTTGCTGATTCTACAATTTTAATGGAGTGTTATAAAACTATGGAGGGCTTAAGCTTCCATAATATAAAACTATGGAGGGCTTAAAAAAGGAGATTTATCGGCAATGGGCAAATTTGAAATTTCTGTCCCCACTTTTAAGCAGCTTCCTCGGTTTGACAGCAGAGGCACTGCGATCGACTGGGATACTACATTTTCATTGTTAGTATACGATTTAATTGTGTTTTTAATAAAATTTATAGTTAATTTACTGAATTTTTAGCAGTACAACAATGAGTCGTGGTAGAAATTGCTTTGTACCTGGCTGTACAAGTGGGAATCCCAATAAAAACAAGGCAAATAAAGAACGGGGTGAAAGAAACCCAAGCCTTTTCAAAGCTCCTAATGTAAGTAGTATGACTATTTATTTATAAAAATTATGGATAGATGTTAAGAAAAACATTAAAATTATATACTGTCAGTGTACAGATTAAATTATAAACCAAATTAATAGGAAATATAGCCTAAAATCAACATGTGTATAACATAACCTAGGAGGCCTTGTTATAAAATTAAAATAATTTAATACTTACTAGGTGCTAAAATTACCTGTTGACATGTACCTATATTAACCACAGTTTGAACAGTGCTATTGAAAGTGAATATTAAATATTTATACTTCAAGATCGTATTCTCAAAATAACAGCTTTAATAGTGAAAAATGTTTTTTTTTTATTTTATTTAACAATTATATATCTTTTATTAGGATCCTAGCTTGCTACAGCAGTGGCAAAAGGCGATACCCAGATCAGACAAGACACTTAGCAGCAAAGATTGTAATTTTTTGTGTTCTTGATATAATATGATGTTCCTGTTTTATTTTTTGGCATAGTACATATAGATATTTAATATCTAAGTGCTAAATTGTATATTAAATTTATATATTGTATATTTTATTTATTAAATTTAGTGGAATTAGTTAATAGAAACAAAAGTTGTAATGTATTAATATTGCTAAATAAATATTTATATGATGAAATAAGTCAGCGTATATACATATTCACAACTCTGTATTTTTGTGCTTTTGAAATAAACTGAGTACATTATTTATTCATTAATATTTTATTTACAAACCTACCTTATATTAATAAAGTGAATATCAATAGAAAAACCTTTACAATTATTAGGTGACATTGAATATAATATATCTTGAATTTAATTGTCTACGAAACAGTGACAATTTGCAAAACTTTGCTAATGACATTAAAACTTACAATTCAACGCTAGAAAAAACGCTATTGAACACAGGAAACGTTTCAGCTCAATATACCTACTCTCTAGTTTCAGCTATAAAAAGTTATGGAATAGATAACACCGATCAAAGGGTGCAATGGTAACGTTCGTCTTCAGTTTCCATTTATGATTAAGTTATTCCTGATAAAATACTCTTAATTTTCGTTATTCAATCTGTCAATCGCCATAAAACCACTACTAGTTCGAAAGATTTTAATGTTTATTAAAATGGTATCACACTAAACTGCATGTAAACATGTCAATTTCAAATGTTTTAATGAAAAACTATGAACCTTTAAACTGCATCAACAAAACTATTAATAAAACACTAACACAATCACACCATAAACTATTTCATTCGCATTTCTCATCAAGAAACAATTACTGTTTACATCAAATCAAAGGTTGAACTGGTGATAAATTTGTTGCTGGAACTTCTATCTTTTTTGTACAACAGTTCTAGGGAAGATTTATTTTAGCAGCTTATATGTTTCTTCGGTCGTGTATGCACTAAAAAGAACCACATAATAAAACATTTTTATAATATCAACTTAGGAAAAGGATATATTAAACCGGCATCTAATATAACCTAACTAACTTTTCAAACTCAAATTTAAGGTTTTGTATTCACAATTTTAGCCACGCACATTGCTCAATTAGAAAAACCACGTTTCTAAAAGCTAACTCTGGTAAAAATATGCCCAAATATTAACTTGGCTCTATAATTTATAACAAAATAGTTATTCTTGCCATAAGAAGCTGTGTATTTCTAGTATCCCAATATCACAAAGCGCCCCCTAACGATTTTCCGAACTCATTTAGATCTCAAGAAAACTGGGCCCTGTAATTTTGCGTTCGATTCGCCTCCCTTCCCTTACCAGGCTCCATATATAAAACCTATTATCTATTATGAACATGATATGGAGATAAGATATGGACCTACAGCATGTAAAATTAAAAAAAAAAAAAACTTGGACACCCCCCCCCCTTTAATTTTCCGAATTTTTAATAAAGCACTTTTTCAACGTAGCATCAATGTAGAGTTATTTTGTTTTACTTTATTGACGATGAAAATGCATAATAACCGTTTACGTGTTAAATAAATATTAAAATAATAATATATAATAATATAATTGACAGTACTGCAAAATTGTTTTCTACTGAAAATAATTGCAAAATAAGCTGGTTAGCTGCATTAATCTAGCAAAATCGACGAAGGGGGATGTTTTGTGATCGACGATGTGCGCATGCATAAGCTTTGTTCGGGTTCTTCGTTATTACCGATTTTGAACCGTCCTAGAACTCTGCAGCGCATGCGCAATTGAAATAATGTCTTCATATTTCCTTCTGCGCATACGCATCACAGTTCTAGGACGGTTCAGAATCGGTAATAAGAGAAACCCGAAGTAAGCTATAGTGTCATCTATCACACAAAAAAACCTGGACACGTAGCCTGGACACCAACGTATTTGCTGGATACCCCTTCCCCACGCCTTTTAATTTTCCGAAATTTTAATAAAGCACTTTTTAAACGTAGCATAATAATCTAGAACAATTAGATTAATTATAGGAATCTAGAGTTTTATTTCTATTTAATTTTATTGACTATGAAAATACATAATAAGCGTTCACGTGTTGTGCGAAATATTAAAATAATAATATAAATAATATACCGTACTAAGATCGAAAAATAATAGCGTCAGTGATGACTATGAAATGAAGAACGCTGTCATTTTGTATGTCAATTTATATGGGAAATGTCCTCAATCGTCATTTCCCAGTCAACTGGACGCCGTTTTTTCGATCATACGGTATATATTGACAAAAAACACTGAAAATCACATAATATTTGCTTTCTACTGAAAATACTGAAAATAATTCCAAAAAACGTGCAATCTGGCAACATCGACGATGTGCGCATGCGTAGTATCTGTGACCTGCGACTATATGCAGCAAAAACTCGTTTCAAGGTCAGCCACCGGATCCACACCTTTACCTAAAAGTATTATAAAATACGAAAACTCAGATCATTAAAATACATTATGTGTTTTCTAAAGTTTCAACTTATTATAACCATGTTATAACCTCACCTCAAACCTTCCTTAAAGCTTTGATATTTGAAAGTTACATACATAGGTTCTTATAAACTACATCCTATGACTACACAAGGACTACACCTCCTACATAAACTACATTAACTACATGTAATGTAGTTTCTGTAGTTTTTAAAAGTAACATGTAGTTTTCCGAACCCTGCCCATGATCCCATCCTTGATAATATCAGCACCAGTAGAGTTGTTAAACTACACGTAGTAATTAATAAACTACATTTACTACATGTCACAAGTCGTTTTTTAAATGTCGAGTAGTAAATGTGTAGTTTATGTAACTAATGTAGTTTTTTTTTAAATAACAGTGAAAACATAACTAAAAACTTTGTTTGTTGATCAATTTAAAGAAATAAAAAATCTATATTTTGTGAATTTGTTCCTTATTATGTCATATTTTTGATACTTAGTAGTTAAAAATGTTTGGAAGACGTCGATGTCTCCATACCTTGCTCCATACCTTCTGGGAAGAGGGGAATTATGATGTTGTGCCTCTAGATGTAAAAAATCATATATTCTCCTGGAGAATGTCTATGGAGAATTTCTCCATAAGAATTTTTAGTTTATTTTGTGTTCAATGTTACTTTGTATTTCGTAGAAAATACACTTTTGTTGAAAAAAATTGTCTTTTTTTCTGATGTTGTTTAACTTATACAAATATAATATAACTTCATACTTCCATGCAGGGTTCGGAAGTAGTTAATTAAGACGTAATTTACCTGATTAACTACGTGTAGTTTTTCTTCAAAAACTACGTCTTTTCCCGTTCATTAACTACATAAAAACTACGTTAATAAACTATGTATTGATATTATGAATAATTTTCTTTTGTATGAGGTGTAATAGAGATAATATGATGTAAATATTATATTTAAAGCCATATTTCTTCTGTTTTCTTAAATACATTATGTGTTTTTATAGCTTCAACTTATTATAACCTCACATACATACATAGGTTACATAAACTACACCCTCTACATAAACTACATTAACTACATGCATGTAATGTAGTTTATGTAGTTTTTAGAAGTAACATGTAGTTTTCCGAACCCTACTTCCATGATAAGAATTTGGCTTGATTTTTGTTTAAAGTCTAAATTGTTTACGTTTTACTATATTCTTGTAGGTAGTTTTTAACGTAGTTTTTGTGTAGTTTTTGTATAGTTCTTGAAGGTAGTTTTTAAAATTTTAAAACGTAGTTAATACAAAAAACTACGCGTAGTTTTTGGCGTAGTTTTTTGCTTCATAAACTACTTAACAACCCTGAGCACCAGGCAAGCACCAGGGCAAACCAGGGTTCGGAAAACTACATGTTACTTTTAAAAACTACATAAACTACATTACATGTAGTTAATGTAGTTTATGTAGAGGGTGTAGTTTATGTAACCTATGTATGTAACTTTCAAATATCAAACAGGTTTGAGGGTGAGGTCTATTAATAAGTTTGAAGCCTTTAAAAGCACATAATGTATTAAAGAAAACAGAAGAAAATATGGCTTTAAGATATAATATTTTACATCTTTGATGTCGTGCTAGTTGAGCGAGCGCGGTGCGATACAAAGGAAAATTATTCATAATATCAATACATAGTTTATTAACGTAGTTTTCATGTAGTTAATTGAACGGGAAAAGACTACACGTAGTTAATCAGGCAAATTACGTCTTAATTAACTACTTCCGAACAGCCCCTCCAGGGTTCGGAAAATTACATCTTACTTTTAAAAACTACACTACATAAACTACATTATATGTAGTTAATCGACGTAAAGGGTGTAGTTTATGATGTATAAACCTGAATGTATGTAACTTTCCAAATGATCAAACCGGTTTTGCAGTAGCTTACAATAAGTGAAGCTTAAAAACACATTTAATGGTATTTATAAGAAAACAAGAAGAAAATCATGGCCTGTTAAACTATTGCAATATTGTACATCATCCATCTATCTCTATTTAACCCTCATTACAAAGGAAAATTATTCATAATATTAATACATAGTTTATTAACGTAGTTTTCATGTAGTTAATGAACGGGAAAACACGTAGTTAATCAGGTAAATTACCTTTTAATTAACTACTTCCGAACCCTGTTTCTGGTTATTTATTTTTCCGATGATTTTGAACACCCTATATATGCTACCTCAAGTTTGAATATTTTAACACTATCTACCTATTTTCTGAGAAAGCCAACCTTTCTATAAAAACTAACTACTGCATGTTTTCTAAGTAGATTAATACAAAAATTCGCATACTATGTGGAGGAACTGTTAGGACTCCCTGCCTAGTATTAAAAAAATTACGCGAAATATTACCGTAAGCTTTAAGCCTGACATTTGTCGTGCATCAATGGTACGATTTGGACAAGTAAAACAGGGTTATAAAACACGTCTTAGAAATACGCGCCAAGATAAAGCACTTCTTCCGCCCCATATGAAAAAGGTTGAATAGCCTGTTGGCCGGTGGTCGATGATAAGTTCACTGCCTTCTATTAAAAGATCGGCCTACGGGCGAGATTTATGACGTCACGCTAGTCTGAGATATAACTGATTAAATTAAATATGTTGTAGCAATACATGCGCAAACATGAATCGTACTTCCTCAGATTTTTGGTTGTGTATTTTAAAAAATGATATAGTTTAAATGAAATATATATAATATACAGCTTAATAACTGACGAAGCATAGTATACCGTAGTTTATAGTAATAAATACTTTGGCAAATAAACTATTAACCATACAAATGCAGGAAATGTTTTACAATGTACAAATAGCTGTATTAGGTACAGTAGATAATGCGGTTTAAATGTAATATATTTTAAATTTTGGGTTTGAAAATCGATCTAGTTTAACAAAAAACATTTAATTAAAAAAAAAAAAAAAAAATGTATTATTATTTGCATTCACACAAATTTATACGTGTATATTATTGCAGTATCAATGTTCGAAAAATTATATAATATAATAACAAAATGAAATACAATATTATCTAAAAAAAAGGCGTCATATTTGGTTTCAAAAAAACGTTTCGGCTACAACTAAAGCCTTCACAGTGTTGTGTCATATGAGAACACAAAATAGTGTCGAATATTAATCCGAAAAAAATTACATATACAAATATAATTCACCACACCACTTAATGTTTACTGCAATTAATAAACTAATAATATAAAAAAAAAAAAAAAAAAAAAAAAAACATATTTTTTAAAATTTATTATTCTTACACTAAAATTATCTACATTGACTACGGAGACTATGGAGTACGCAGTAAGAATTATGTGCGTTGTCGTGTGAAGTATTTGATGATGCGAATTTTGGATTATATTCGACACTATTTTTCTTATATGACACAACACTGAAAAAAATATAAAAAAAAAAAAAAAAACCGTTTTTTTTTAAACCAAATAAAAATACATGAAGAAAACCAAATTAAAAATCAATCAGCGTTTTTCCCGAACTAAATCCAAGAAAATCAAAAAAGATTTAGCAATATTTAGAATCAAGGTTCAAGAATATCAAATTTTCCAAGTTTTTTTTTTTTTTTAGTTAATTATTTTATGGTGT